TAATGGGAGCAATGCGGCACCTGTAGGAGTGATGGTGCTTTTCTCGTTATTGTTTAATGCTGTCTGAAGATTGATTTATATATAAAAATATAAATAAATAAATATATTTACATATTTGTATTCTTATTTCCGTCTCTCTCTCTCTGTGTGTGTGTGTGTTGCCGTTGTTAATATGCCTTTGTGACCGTGCAATCCAAGCATGCATTTGCCTTTGCTGGCCTCAGGGTGCTTTCTCCAGCAACCCCCTTTTGTTCTCTTCATCTGCCGCCGAAGAGGCAAGGAAGAAAAAAAAGATTTATTTTATTCGGGGCATTTGCTCCGTTTCTCCAAGACACAATGAACAACGCTGAGTCAAGTGATGCGCACCTCCCAAGCCGCGTACTGCAACAGGCAGGGGCAGAGTCTCAGCAGTCACAGGCTTCAACCGCACAAATGTACGCCCGCCCCGAGCTTGCCTGTACCGAAACGAAGGGCGAATATTCTGTTGCGCTCCACATCGTGGCAATTTTTGTTCTTCTGGTCGCTTCTCTTATTGGGACGATGCTTCCGCTCGCAGGCAAATACGTTTCGTTTCTTCAACTGCAACCCTTTTTAGTCGTTATTGGGAAGTGCATCTCCTCGGGGGTGGTGATGGCCGTTGCCATGGTACACATGATGAACCATGGCGTTCTTGGCTTCATGAAGGACTGTGTGCCGGAGTCTTTACAACAATCGTTTGATGCATTTTCACTTTTGTTTGCGATGATTGCGGCGATGCTGATGCATGCTTTGGATGTGCTCATGGATTTATTGCTTGAGAGTTGGGCAAAAAATAACGCAAGCGAGGCTACATCACAAATAGAGCAAGCGCAATTGCCAGAAATGGAGACGACGACAACCGGGCAAGAAATGCCGGGTGCAGGATGCCACAACCATGGGGGAATTTACACAGCTCGACTAGACAGCGCGAAACGTATCATTGCGGCCGTATTCATGGAGTTTGGTTTGGCCTTGCACAGCGTGTTCCTGGGCCTTTCGGTGGGGGTTGCAAATGATTCCCAGACGCGGTCGCTCCTTGTGGCGCTGACATTTCACCAGTTGTTTGAGGGCCTGGCGCTGGGCTCACGGCTCTCGGAAGCATCCATTAACTTCAGACTGGAGTTGCTGATGACATTTATTTACGCCGTCTCTGTTCCATTGGGCACCGTTGCGGGTCTTGTCACCCTGAAGACTTCCGACATCTCCATGACGGGCACGGGTTTCGTCACCACGCAGGCGGTGCTCGACTCGGTATGTGGCGGCATCCTGCTGTACCTTGGCTTCACTCTTATTCTCAACGATTTCATGTCAGATCTGCGGCAATATGCCGGGGTGAATGCGGCGCATCGTGGCTGGAAGCGCCTTGCGATGTTTGTGGCACTGTGGGGAGGGGGAGCCGTCATGACGCTCCTTGGGAAGTGGGCGTAGCCCAAGCGGCTCTTCCCAGCGGTCTCTGGCACGCAAACAACAGGCCAAAGCATCGGGTAAAAACGGTGAAGCTAAAGCGGAAGCTGCACTCCATCAGTAAACGATAAAACAGCAACAACAACAACAACAACAACAATGCATACATAATAATTTGCATGGAAATGGAATGGATTGTTTATGTCACAAACGCAAAGCAAAACGAGCGGGATTTAAGGAAGTTGGAAATGGGAATGGCGGGTATGGGTGCGCCTAAGCCGCAACCAACCGCAGGAATTTACTCTGACGCGGCAATCGCTTCAAGGGAGTTGTGGGAACGCACAACAGTTAACAGTATGGACGGGTGGGACAGAGGAAAAACGACAAAAACAAAAAGAAAGGAGAGTTGTGCAGGGGAGACAAGAAGGTGATTTTTGTGTTGCCAGCACCTCGTCTCTCTCTCTGTGTGTGTGTTTATTTGTGTGTGTGTGTGTGTTTTGTTTGTGCGTCCTTCACTCTCCTCAACAGGAGATCCGGGAATAATAAATGGTAGATGTCTCTAACCCCAGCATGCAAGCAGGAAACCTGAACACGCAGCTTTTGGCTTTCAGATACATCCTCACGAAAAAAAAAAAAAAAAAAGAGAAAAATTAAATGTTATGCCCTGCTTTTAGCGGGCAAAATGATGGAGAACTTCTTTAAACCCAATGGGGGAATTAACAAAAAACGTGGCCGCAAAGAAATGAGTGGCATAAAATAACAGAAAAGAGGAAAACACCACGCCATGATGTCAAACCTAAACAAACAAACAAAAAAACAAAAAAAAAAACGAGAATCTCTAATAAGCTAAACTATTCTGCACAGCGTTGCTGTGTCCTATAATACTTCCGCAAGTTAAACTTGAAGCAAAGAAAAAAGTGGATGAAAAAAGAAGCAGTAAATAAAGCTAAACAAAAGAACGAAGCACATTTTTCACCACGCATTACTGCAGACTTTATCCAATACTCAACCTGTACCATAAAGTTCTTCTTTTCCCCCCACATCATCGCCACAAATTACAGTTTTTTTAAAATCCTACCAGCAGAATGAGCGAAAACGAGACGTGCGATGCGCTCCTCTCCCAGTACGAGTTGCTGAGGGGGAAGATGGCCACGCAGCACTGCGATGACAGCCACGACGGAGATAAGGATGAGCACAGCCATGGAGACTGTGGTGGCTCCAATGGACCGTACACGGTGGGGCTGCATGTGGTGGCCATCTTCGTCGTGCTTTTGTCGTCGTTTCTGGGGACGGTTATCCCACTTGCCGGGAAGCATGTGCCGTGTCTGCGGATGAACCCATTCTTGTTTGTTCTCGGCAAGTGCGCGGCGACTGGCGTGGTGCTGGCCGTGTCAACGATCCACATGATCCACCCCGCTGCTGAGTTGCTTGAGGAAGACTGCGTTCCGGACTCGTGGAAGGAGTCATACGACGCGTACGCGTTTCTTTTTGCGATGATTGCAGCCATAGTGATGCACGCGCTTGAGACGCAGTTGGTGGCGATGTTTGCGAGCGACGAGTCTCCGTCCTCTCCTTCCGGGGGGAACGGGGAAAAGGGGGACGCGAACGGGGATGAGGAGCGTGCTGACGGTGCGCCCAGCGGTGATATCTACCAGCACCATCACAGCCACGCGCTCGCTTCCGTGGAAGGCGGGAGGGCACATCGGCTTCTCTCGGCCCTGTTCATGGAATTCGGTGTGACGCTGCACAGTGTGTTCATTGGACTGACGGTTGGCATCACGAGCGACGCGGAGACGAAGGCGCTCCTTGTGGCTCTGGTATTTCATCAGATGTTCGAGGGTCTTGCGCTGGGCTCGCGGCTGGCGGACGCGTCCATGCGCATTTCACTGGAGTTGCTGCTTGCGCTGATCTTCTCCATCTCTGCCCCATTGGGCACCGCGGTCGGTGTGGGAGCTGTCGTGGGGTCGAAGATATCGCTAACTGGAGTGACGTTCATCATCATGCAGGCGATCTTTGATGCTGTGTGTGGCGGCATCCTGCTGTACCTTGCCTTTGTTCTCATGCTGAGCGACTTTCCAACGGACCTGCGGAAGCACGCGGGTGTGGGTGCGGCGCATCGTGGCTGGAAACGCCTTGCGATGTTTGTGGCACTGTGGGCAGGCGCCGGGATTATGGCGGGGATCGGGAAGTGGCTGTGAGTAGCGGAGAGGAAGAAAAAGGAGGAGATCCTTTTTGGTAAAATCATAATAACTTTGTGTGTGTGAGTGTGTGTTTGTAAGGGATATGCAGGCGTTGTGTTTTCCGCGCGTCTTGAATAAGAGGTATAAAGAGTTGTGTGTGTGTGTGTGTCACTGTTTTTGTGCTTGC